GCCTAAGTCGCAGATTGCTATTTATGGATCGCGCGAAAGTTTATAAACGCAATCACGCCTGCGGAATTATCGAGAGTATTTCTCGGGGAACAAGCGTGATCCCGTCGACGAGGAAGGCGTTGTAAGTTTGACTCGGCGCGGAATACCTAAGAGGAAAAACACTCGGAAGCGTCATCGAGGGAAGCTTCGATTGCGAGGATAAAAGCCTTTCCGCTCCAAGGCGGAAAGCCTTCCACCGAGTTTACTGCCAGAAGCAACAAAATATTTTCTCTCAAAAATCGAAAATGCTTTCCTCCCTCACCCCGAGTATACACATTGATCTCGAAGCTCTCCATTCCATTCTGCATGTGGAAATCAATCGAGAAATTATATTTAAACATTTAAAGTCTTAAAAGCTCTCTCTCTCTCTCTTTCTCTCTCTTAAAATAAGCTGTCGCCTCGCCCTTTGAGCACTACGCAATTTTCATGTATAATATAACATCTATGGTGTTAATTTGTATTAGTGTTTAAATAAAGTAATAACAATATTTACGTCGCCTTTCGTCTCATTAAAAATCATGTAAAAAAGAAAAAATTCTAATCACAACGTGTTATATAATCCCATATTCTAAATAAAAACTCTCGCCTTCTAATGAAGGGACTATTTTCACCGGAAATCTACTACATATTATTTCAACTTTTGTTCGTTTGAATAAAATGGAATATGTTTACTAGAAGCATAGAATGCTCTTACCAGAAAAAAATTGTTATTACGAACAAGACTTGTAGTGCAGATAAATAACAAAATTCTTCTAATTTTAAGAATATTGCGCTTAGAATATTTTACTTTTGGTTTTAGAAAAATCCTCTCTCTTAAAACTAAATGTAAGAATAAAATCCTCTAGGATTCAGGATTTCGCTAAGGATGAGATATTGTTTTCTTCTTCTTTTTTTTTTTCTAAAGTTTATCAATCGTGTCGAGATAATGGGCACACACCAAATTTACCACTCGTCAGCATGGATCGGTACATAAATTTATTTTTCGGGTTTTAAATTTCTCTCTCTCTCTCTCTCTCTCTCTCTCTCTATATATATATATATATATATATATATATATATATATATATCTTTTTTTTCTCCCGTGCTCTCCGTCGCGAAACACGATACGACGTTTTAAATAAGAACTTTGTCGTGCAACTCCACGCGCGGAAACTTCGCGTTCTCACCGCGACACAAGTTGCTCTCCGAGAGGATTTGCGATTTTCGCCACGTCGCGCCACGCACCGATGCAATCCTCTCTCCTTTCCGTCCTCCCTGCGGTCGCGCATCGGGATTACAGCCGCTGCGGATTGAGATCACGTCTTATCATCTTCTTATCGGTCGCGATGCGCCCCGCGCACGTTTATACAACAGTCATTAAATTTATCGTTGACATCTCCCGCGAGTCTCGACGCGAGTGAGCCGGCGCCGCCTCTCTGTCCTAATTACTTTTTAACACGGCCCATAAAAGGAGTCGGGATAGCGGCACGATGCTTGTCGGGCTCTTCGAGGCGGCATAATCGTAAAACCGGCCGGCGGAGCGTAATTAAGACGGCACGCGTGGGCGTTCGAACGTCGCTCTCTCTCGTCTCGATCTCTCATTTTTTCCCCCTCTTATTCCCACTCTTTTCCCATCTCTCTCGCTCTCTCCCGCTCTATTTCTCCATCGTCAGACGGGACCCCCAGATCTCCTCTCCTCGAGACTATTCGAAAGAACCGGACGTTTCCGACAGACCAGGTGATCCCTGGAACGTTGCACATCTACCGTGTCGACCCTAATCCACAGCACAGTGATATTGTCCCGGTGCGGTGTCCGGCAAAAAGTTACATCCGGTGCGTTAGCTCCTCGTGAGAAATAAAAGTTTCCTTCGATGAGACATCAGTTTTATGAGAAAAGGGCGAGCACAACGAAAGAGGAAACTCCGGGAGAACTTGCGTCGATGACGTGTGTTCAAATGTTTAAAGCGTGCCGGTTTGAAATAATCTTTTTGCATGTTTTTTCTTAGAGACGGGGAAAGATGACGACGTCAGTCTTTTTCTAGAGAGGTTACTGAACGGCAGAGGATGAGAGTTAATTAATATGTGGACAGCAGAAATTTTTACGTAGATCAAATAAACGCGAAACGAACTGATGAGACGGTCGTAATATAACGGCTCAAAAACGATAACAAAAACGTGCACGACAGAGTGACATAGCCGTTTTGCAAAATCCACTCGTAAAAATTTTCCAAAGTCAATAAATTCAGAGAATCCGCTCACGGAAAGCGCTCGCGATGTAATCTCGTTGTATGAGGTATGACGTAATCGAAAAAACATGAATGCGACGAAAAAGGGCAGATACAAAGCGCCCGATAAGGGCGCGTTGCGAATAAATGGCAGAGAGAGAGAGAGAGAGAGAGAGAGAGAGAGAGAGAGAGAGAGAGTGAGGGAAGAAGAGGGCGTAGGGAAAGAGAGGGGGGAGAGGGAAAGAAAGAGAGAGAGTCGAATTACAACAGGATGAACGATGACACTATCAGCGCGAATAAATCTCGCTCGTAAAATGCGCGGAATCTTATCGAGAGAAATTTCGCGCGTCCCCATTCACCTACCTACACGCAAGCTTTACCCCCAGGCGGCTTTACCCTTGACCCGCTACGGTAAGTGGCGACAATGAGTTCCGTTTCTGACTCGTGGGACAAACGAGGCGGATTAGAAGATTAGGATGTTATCGCTTAACGCCCCCGCCGCTCTCGTTCTCGATCGCCCGCCTGTCCGCTCGCACGCACCGAACGTATCGCGTCGCGCGATCTAAGATTCCCTTGTTAAGAATGATCTTTTGATCATTGACTGTTGGATCTATCTGGAACTATCTCCGCTTGTACGTTTGACACCTCGAGTGTCAAAGTTATCACATATTCTCCGTATTGATCAGTAATGTCG